ATGCAATTATTGGGTGAAATAATGCAGGAAAAAAAAAAAAAAATAAAAATAACGAAGATGGAAATGAAAGGAAAAAAATAAAATGAATGAATGAAGGAAAGGAAAGGAAAAAAAAAATTAAAAAAATAATGATAATTTTTCCCAAACAAACAAAAAAAAAATTAATTTGTGATCAATATCACTTATAAGGGTTTTGATTGGGCACCGACAACACCAAATCATTTGCACTCACAGATTTTGGCCAAAGATGTTTTTAAAGAAAAATTTGACAATTATATTAATACTATTACAAAATAAAAGTGGAATTTTTTTCCATCTTATACTTAAATATTTTGCCTAGAACATCTTAATATGCATCAAATCTGCCTATTAAACTCATCAAATTTTATTACAAAACTAACAAATAGAAAAATGAAAGTTGTAAAAATTGAAAATATTGTTAATAATCAGGAAATATGCTTTAAAGGAACAAAATCCAAAATTAATGTTTTATGACTTCACAAATAAAAAATTATAGAGTTCAAGTAATTATTTTTTAATTTCAAAAGCTTGGCTCATTGATGAAGAAAAGTAAAACAATTTAAAGAATTATTGTTAATTTTTAAACATTTATATTATATTTTTGGTTGCAGTATTGGTAATCCATAACAAATGTTGCTTTTTACAAAAAATGTTCACAAATTTTGCAACATTAATTAAAATAAAAATCAGTAAATAAATTTACAATAATAGGAAAAAATATTAATGATTATTATTAAATATGGATATGTATATAAAAAAAATCAGTTCAAAACTTATTTTACTTTTCAAATTTAACAGTAAAATTAATACTAAAAAACATGAAAACAACTTACAGTTAAAGGCTAATTTATAATACTAATAATAATAAAATCAAAAGTATTTTTTGTCAAAGTAAATGCAATAATGATAATTGTATCGTGCTATGTGATTATGGGACAGAAACCTCCACTATCCACTTTTGCATAGACTACAATAAGTGAACAAGTGATGCTTATCATACATAATATATAATATTAGTGAAGAATAAAATGCTTATCACTAGTTTTCAGCAGAGAATCATAAGCAGTATTTTAAGAACCAAAATCAAATTGTTGACAATGACAAAAGGAAGTGCTCATCTTTGTTCTCTTCAATTTGATTTTTAATTGGGTGTTATGTGTTTTGATTAGACTTCAGGTGAGTAACAAGAAAAAAATACTGATAGATTGCATTCCTCTGATAACATATATTTTATTATATTATTTCATTATTAAATGGAACCAGCACTAACGTCAGTGCCTATAGTTAAATAACAAATGTTTTAATATCATTACTAAATTAAAAAAAAAAACAAAAAAAAACAACATGACTACGCAAAGGTACCAAGCACAGTACAGAATAGAATAAAAGGTCTTCTGGATTTATCACATCAAAATGGATATTATTTTAAATAAATTAAGACGGTTTTGGAAAAAAACAGAAAAACTAACATTTTCATAGTAATTTATTGATGATTTTGATACTAAATTTAGTCAAAATTGCATATTAACATATTTAATATTTACATATTAAATAACTTTTAGCTACAGCGAATAAAGAAGTAAAAAATATAACAAAATTAAAAGAATTTCACAAAGATTATTTTAATTTAAAAATCAATAATTTTAGGAAGAAATTAATTTTACGTTCATTATGCCGGTTTAAATGCTTGTTGATGCATAGAATACTGCATAGTAATCAAGTTTAGAGAATTTGTTTTTGAGTTCTTTAACAGATTATATATTTCTATAAACTAAAACTGTTAAGTTTTCTCCTCTGAGTGAAAAGGAATTTACATATTAACACTTATTTTTAGCTATTTTTCATTAAATTCTAATGTTATTAAAATAAATATATATGATATCATTTGATATATCAGATAAAATAAGTTTGGAAGTTCTTAGTCCTATCTTTCAAGATGCTGTTGTGAACAAGGTTAAAAAAGAAAAAGGAGAAAAAAAAAAAAAAAAAAAAAAAAACCAAAACAGACAAACAAGAATTTAAAAACTATTATAATTTACAGATTAAACCTTTAGGGAAACAAATATAGCAAATTTGGATTGCATAATTCTAGCATTTCTTTTAAAAATTATGAATAAAAGAAAAAATAGATTTTCAGCTTTAATTATACAAGTTTGTTAAAGAATCAATTTTTGAGACTTCAAAGAAAGTTAATCAGTATTTTTCTTTCTTCAGCTGGATCTAAATTTAAATAAAATAGCCTAATAATCTGAAACCAAATAGACATACATTTACTAAAAAGATAAATCAGCCATGTCTATCTTTAAAAGCAAATTCACAATTACAAAAAAAATTTCTCCAATTCTGCTAGTTACATTTCAGCTGTTCAGCAAGACAGAATCTCAAAATATGCGACAAGACATCACAATAATAAATGAAAGACAAAGAGAAAATAGTTAAAAATATAAATAAATAAAAGAAAATTTAAAAGAAAAAAAAAAAAAAAAAAAACTTAAAAAGAATAAAATTCAAACCACCAAGAGACAAAACAATTAAATCAAATAATATATGAATATTTGAAATCGATTCTTTCCTGGAGAGAGAAAAAAAGAGAGAGAGAACAAAAGTAATAATAATACCAGTTTAAGAAGTTCACACATTAAAACAATAGTTGTTGGGCCTAAGAATATCACAGAGACAATGACCACAGAACAGAATACCTTTCACTAGATAAACTTGACATAGATTTTTGTCTTTGAGGACAGCTGGAAGGTGCGTTTATTTGGGCAGTTGCAGGTTCTAGAGACCAATGTCTACATGAGTGATGGAAAACAGATGGTAGGTTTCTAGGCATGCTTATCAAGCAGGAAGAACGAAGGATTGATCCCCAGGCTGGAAATTCACTTACCGTAATAATCCCATGGTCCCCGAGCTTCAATGTCAGCAAACAAAAATGATATACGAAATCAAAACAAAGGCCACATAATCAACTAAACTTGATCTTGTTTTTATCAGTTGAATAATTCCTACAACTAATTATATAAGAGGGAATGAATATATATATATATATATATATATATATATATATATATATAAAAAAAATCCCATACCATAACCCCTGCAAAAATACTTAGGATAGAGAATATATATATATATCTCAGTGAGATCTGGATAGAAAATTAAATTTTTTAAATTCTTTCTTTTCAATTTTAGAGAAAAGAAACAATCTAAAAACAAGTTATTTCCTGAAATTAACAGTATTTGGTAATAAATTTGATAACTATATGTAAAAAAAAAAAAGAAAAAAAAATGAGAAATATAATTTTTTTTTCCACATCCCAATGTTGCAGATCCATCCCTTTTGTTTCAATGTTTAAAATGGATGTGTAAAGTTCTAGTAATCACAGCATTACTAATTATTACCAGCAGATTTCTTGACAGTTCTCCCTATTCAATTAAGCAAATCTTCCTTCAAATTTAACTGCCATATCATAATCCAGTTTTTGGTCTGTTAACCATGGGTATCTCATAAGTTGATCAGTTTTTGCACATACTTGATATCTAACCATCACCATTTCCAATTAAGGGATGAGGTAAATGGAGACTTAGGGGAATTATTAATTCAATGGGTGGGGAGGGATACACTACATTTACACCATTAGATATTGATTAAAATAAGGGAGGGTCAAGGGTAAATGTTTGAACAAAAAAAAAAAAAAAAAAAAACAATACTAACAGCCATTCAAAATAAAAAATAAGCAAAAATCAAACAAACATTCAAAAACAAATAAAACAAGCAACAAGACAAAAAAGCACAATATAAAACACATTTTATCATTTCAATAGAATTGTCACTAAGATACAAGTGCTAGTCTAATATATAGTTTGTGTTTTGATTTTAAAATTGCACAATAAATTGTTGAAGGCTTGAGATTGAAATGCAGAGTGAAATAATGTATTCAAGTAAGGAAATTAGATGAAATATACAAATAGTTCAATTGCAAAAATAGTAAATAGTTCTTTCTGTATTGAGTGCATGGTAAATTGTATATTTTAAATAATTTTTAAACTATTATATAGAAAGGTACTTTTCAAAAGATAAAATTTATAAAATATAACATTAAAATAGTTATGTAGTCATCATTGGAAACTGAAGAAGTTCAGACATTAATGAGAAGCATTTTATGTTAAGCTAAAACTGCCATAAAATTTCAATGTGAGTGATGTTAAAGGTGACAAATGATGTTTTTTCTGTTAGCATCAAAATATAGAGGACAATGACACTGAATGAAGCACCTTTGATAATTCCTTAGAAAGAATTATTTTTAGGAGATAAGATTTACAATAATTTTTTTTTTTTTTTTTTTTTTACATTTCTACAAGTTTAATGTCTTCTTTGTATTTCTCTTTCACAATAAAGCAACACTGAGAGCGTCTCTCTATAATGAACTGGCAATTTTATATTGCCAGGATCCACGATGCAATAAGACAGACAGGAAATAGATCAAATGAAATAAAGTTTAGTTCGATGAAGAATAGAAAATGAGAGAACATACACAGAAAATGAAGAGAATGGCACAAAGAATTGGTGATGGGATGATATCAGTAAATAGCAAGACATGCTAGAGAAGCAGATCTTGGAGCCATGATAGATATATGCATTCTAGAAAATACATGGTAAGAAGTCAGCATGAGCCAACAAGCAAGGCTAAGAATATTTAAACCCCATGGTAAAGTTTTATATTTACACCCATACACTTTAAGGTATGGCTATGCAAACTTTCAAACTATGGATATGTACAATCATCATATATGATTGCAACTGGTTTAAAGAGAAATCAACAGCCAAAAGTTCAAGGGTATCTTGAAATTTAATTTTGTGAGTTTGAAATAGGATAATAAGTAAAATTAGAACCAGGGGTTAAAAAAAAAAAAAAGAAAAAAAAAAAGGGAAATAAAAAAAAACTTAAAATCCCCAATGCCAATTGATGGCCACTCACTGTCATTGTCCTCAAGAAGTGCATCCACTTTTGGGTAATCTGTAAAGCAGCAGCAGGATTAAAATTAGATAGTATGTATCTTACGATTAGATTAACATATACTATATATCAAGGTCTAAAGAGAGAAAGGACATTTTTTTTTTTTTTTGAGATAATGTTAGTGGCAACTGGTTAAGTAATTCACACATCAAGCAGTATATTTTCAAAATTAATTTGAGATGCATTAAAAAAATATATCAAATTGCACACACATATCTAAAACAGTAAATATTAAATAAGTGAAACAAAGTATTCAGATTTATATTTGAATCTACTTAGTGTAAAATTTTTAATACATTTCTGAACAATGAAAAATTGACCCATGATGCTGATTAAAATATCTCCATACATTATGACATATGCATACAAGAACGAGAAGTATAAAGAATATAAAATTAACATTGGTGCCACTAAGTTGAAAATAATTTGTCTTCAATAGATTTGTATGAAATATTTGTTTTAAGGAATAAAAAAATCATAAAGTACCGAAAAGTATATGTCTTTATTTAATGACTACTCTAAAAAGATTAGAACAGTGAATAAAATTTATCAACTTTTCTAAGTGTTTTAATGAATAACATTTTTATAGTTAATGTCATATGCTGCATTCAGGAATTGAAAAAAATACAAACATTTGGCATATTAAAGAAAAAAAAAAAAATTTTTTTTAGCCAAAGTAATAACATATTTTACTAATAGTCAATCGAATGAAACAAAAGTACAATGAAAGACATTTTAAATTTTAAAATAGTTCACATTAACTGAATTTCACTGTTCACAAAATGTAAAGATACAAAGATAAAAAAAGGAAAATTTGTAGTAATTTAGTTAAATAAATAAAACACTCAATAAACACCACTTAACTTGCCCAAGTACATGCAAATACCCATTTCTTTTTTTCTCTCAAAAAGTAAAGGAATTAATATAAAATTTATGAAGCATAGTATAAATGAGTAAGCAGAGTAGAGTCAAAGCTTTATAAATATTGATTATTGAAAAACCTACATGATGTCTCTGGAAACTGAGCTTTTCCAAGATTAACCTCATTAAATCAATTCATAAGAAAATGAGAATATGTGGAATGAACTTTTGAAAAAAAAACAAAAAAAAACAACAAAAACATACCAACAATTTGACAAGTGGATTAAAAAAAAAAAAAATAAAAAATACATATATATATATATATATATATATATATATATATATAAATAAAATGATAAAAAACACCACCACTAAAGTTTGGAGAAAAAAAAAAGAAAAAAAAGAAATCAAAACATTAACTTATCAAATTATCTTGCTCATAAAATTAAAAGCAAAAACACTTTTTAAATGCTTTAATTTTATGAACTTAAAAAAAAGAAAAGAAAGTAAAACAGTTAACCCAACAATTGCATTTAAAAGAAACCAAAATATAAATAAAAATAGCGCAATATTGAAGCCTGATCAACTCAGCTTGTATATAAGAAAATAATAAAAAATAAAATAAAGAGCAAGCTTCATAAACAAGTAAACAATAGAACAATCCAGTCTAATCATGCAGCTAACACTTATAGCATACAATATATATATATATATATATATATATATATATATATATATATATATATATATATATGTATGTAGCATTCAATTGGTGAAGTTTGACAAAGACAAAAAAGTGTAAGTGCAAGACAGCTGAACAGTTTTGAAATGGATATTATTTAACTATGAGCAGAAGAAAGAAAGGCAAGCCAGTATATCATTTTCTAAACTGATCTCTGTTCTGACTGGTTACAAGTGGCAAGAAGTAAATCAAGGATTTGCAACAGACTGTCATGTCTGCTACTCAGATGCATAGATTAGTAAATGTTAAGCAGATAAGGAAATAAACATAGGAAAAAAAAGTGTCTGGGTGGTAAAATAAGTGAAAAAAAAAAAGTTTCTATAATAATTTACAAGTTAAAATCTACCATATTTTTCCACAAGGATGATCCATCCTGAAGGATGCATCCCAATTTGGACTCAAGTAAAACAAAGTAAATAGACTTCGGCCTTTAGGATACAAGGCAAATTTCTGAGACATTATGGGAGGGGGGTGGGGGAGAAAAAGTTTTTCAATGCTAGGACATGCAGTAAACAACAGATTTTCTCCAGCCATTTTAAATTTAAACACAGCTGAATTATATATTTAGGCATAAAATTAAAAATAAGTGCTACAATTGATGAAATTCCTTTTAAGATTAAAGAAAAATCTCATTTGTTAAAAAAAAAAAAAAAAAAAAAAAAAAAAAAAAAAAGAAAAGAAAAGAAAAAAGGGAACTATTTTCTCAATTTGTTCAAATATTAAGAAGTTATTTTCAAATGGACATACATAAACACATGCACGCATAATTACACAAACCTAATAAAAAAAAAAATGTTACTTTAGAAAACATAAATGATATAAAATATAATCAATACTAAACTAAATTTGTTTCTAGAATAAAAATATTTAACCCATTAGTTTCAAATGCATTTAATAAAATAACCAAAATTAATATGTGTTAATAAAACTGTACTAGAAACTTTTCATATACAAGTGGTTGTTGAAAAGTTCTTGGCCCAACGAAGCACTTAAAATTTAAAAAATAAAAAATAACAAATAAACAAAAATAAATCTGAGATTTGGTAATTTACTCAGATTTTGGCATGTGTGTCAGGTTGAGATCTTTTCAGCATTCGCTTATACAAGAAAATATAAAAAAATGTTGAATAATAAAAATTTATTTTTTAAAATGGTAAAAAAAAAAAAAAGAAAAAAAAAAGTCCCTTTTTTTTCTCCTCTACTTTTTTTTTTTAAATCTCTAAAAATAAGAATAAAAATAAATCTTTGGAGTTTATAGAATTGAATTTCCAAAGATTAAAGAGGAGGGTTGCAAATCCTTGTGGAGATTCATGCTCTGATTGTTAGAATCTACATGTATTTCCATCTATAATGGCACATTCCAATGAAAGTCATGAAACAAAGGAAATTACAAGGAATTCATTTTGGAAATGGCTTACTCACTGGAGGAGGATCCTTTGCTCCCATATCGGTTGCCTACATGGATGGTAAAGTGGACAGAAATGAATGCCATGAAATGATTTCAGATTACTCTGTGTCAGAGGGCAACGACAGTAGCAGCAGCAGCAGCAGCAATATATGGAGAGCAATGGCGGGCAAGTGTTTACAAATGAGTCTATTGATATGCAAAAATGGATGTGACAAGAAGACTGAAGGTGAGGGAGCACAAGGGAAGCTTTACAATTTGGGAATTTGGTAGAAAGGCTACAAAATTTAAATGGCAAAATGGCAGGCAAATGATTTTAATGGATAGAAAGATGAATATCTCAAGATCAATTTTTTATGAGCATAGAAAATGGATGATGTTTTTCAAATGCCCAGCAGTTTATAAACTCATACCAGGCTTTCAAAAAACACACTAAACATCTAGTTAAACAAAACAGAATTAAAATTCCACATATTGAATTTTTGTAGTAATCCAAGACTTTATGATGTCTCACATGTATTGAAAATATGAAAGTTTCTTAAAATGAATCAAGTTGAATAGATGTAATCTAATTACACGTTACACAATCTTTGTTGACTATGATGAGGTTTAGTGCTGAAATTCATGAGAGAAAAAAATATTAATTGAAAAAAAAGTTTTCCTAAAATTAAAAACGTTTACAAATTTTATTTTTCCTAGCATAAATGAAAACATTGAGATTTTATAAATTTCGTCCTTAGTTTGTTTTTTAAGCTTAAGAGATGCTATTTAACGAAAGCCAAAACAGGCAAATGAGCTAAAATAAGCACAAGTCTTTGTTGAACAAACATCTTTAACATCAGCAATTTCTGATCATAAAATGATGGAATTACAATTTTAAATATTTACAACTGTTTTTATTACAATAAATGACAGTAAATTGTAATTCAACTTATAAAAGCAAGCTGATGGCAAAGCCAAAATTGCCTGAAGACATTCAAATCAGACTTTTATTTTTTAACTTCATAGAATGAATATCCTGATGAAGATGAAAAAAATGTCAATCCTAAAAGAAATAAAGTACCAAAGAAGCTTACTTGAAAATTTCATACACAACTGGTAAAATACTAGAAAGAAACCAAAGAATTTAAATATGATAGTGAGAATTAAATTTTGATGAAAAACAAAGTCAATTCTGGTGTAAATACCTTTTCTTAAATTTAACAACCTAAAAAAACTTGCTAAAAGTTTTCCCTAAAAATTTAAATTCTACATGATTGAATGAAAGACAAACTAAGTATGCTCAGAAAGATTTTAAAAAACAATTAACAAGTCAGGTGAAAAAGCCAGTGAGAGGTATATTTTTATATTAAAAGTGTACAGAAAAGATTTAAGTATATCCACTAAAAACAGAATAGTTAGTAAAGGTTAGGCAATAGAATTGCTATGATGTTACCAGCAAAACAAATGGTTATTTACAGAAAAATGTATATAAGTAAAATTCTCACTCAAAGAAAAAAATCTAGGGATAAACAAGTTTACTGTCATGTTTTTTTTGGAAGATACTTTAACTTGAAAGGTTTTAAATATGATGAGAATAATTTAGAAAAAAAAACAAAAAAAAAAACTGATATGATGATGTCAATCTATTTTTATTTTTAATGTGGAGAAAATGTATCCTACTACTCTAAGTAGGAAGCAAATCTTAATTTATTGCTTCTTGAGAATAAATACAGCGAGATGTTCAAAAGGAATGAACACTGCAGTGAATATCAATGGATTATATCTGCAGAATATTTGCTCCATTTTCATAGACATCTGCACAAAGGAGTAAGCTCTTTTCTCATCAAATGGGAAAACAAGCATATGCACTTTTTCAAAAAAGTGAGTCAATTCTTCAAGCCCCAGAAATTAAAGCTAAAAGCAACAGTTCTAAGCAAAAGTAAGAAAAATCTAACAGAATCTGAATTAAAAATTTTTTTTAATAAAAGTACATTTTTAACATTTTTTTAGTTTTAGTTTTTTTCTGACACAGAAATTAAACATCATTTGGTAGTAAACTAAATTTAACCCAACATCAATAATAACTTTGAATGAGAATGAGCCAAAATGTTTTAAGTGACAGTATTATCAGAAATATGAAAAATAAGTCACTACAAAAGAATGCTGAACTCAAATCCTTTACATTTTGATTTTTAAAACTCAAAAGATACAACTTCTTGAGTTTATACAAGAAAGGGTAAATTTAAGCTGCTACAAACCCAAAAATTAAAAAAAAAAAAAAAAAGACAACTACTGATGCTCTACATCGAGTTTGATTCCACAAACATTTGCATTTAACCTTTCTGCTTCAAGATTTTTATAGGGTCATGAAATAGGTGTCATGTCATCAATAAAACACTTTAAAGAATTTGTGAATAAATTGCACACCTAAAAATATGGATAGCTTATCTGATATATTCATTTCAGCAGTATGTTAGTAAGGGGTAAAGATCAAAGTAGGATAAAGATGTTTGGACAGGGTTTAGTAAAAAAGAAGTTTTTAAAACAATAAAACAAGCTCATCACATCATAGCACAAAGATCAGTAAAGAAAATGAATTCAATTCTTGAATTGTGAATCTAAAAAAGAAAACATTAAAAAATAAAACCTAAAAATAGTCAGTACAATCAAAATAGAATTAGCTATAAAATAATTTGAAAAGAAAGAAAACAAATTGTATCATACAGCTCAAGCATCAACTTAATCTTACTATTTCTAGCTAAAAAAAAAAAAAAAAATAAATAAATAAAAATACCATCTGCAAAATTATATTAAAAAAAAAAAAAAAAAAAACACACACACACACACAGAAAAAAACTGACCTTCACGATCTCCAGTTTCAACAGTCGAGGTTTGTGTTTCTTTACTGTAAGTGACATTTTCTCTTGGAGCAATTGTAGTTTCATTCACTTTGCAGACACTCAATTTCACCCTGGGTTTTGTACTGAAATTCACAATTTTATCAAAGAAATCATTCACTACTAAGTAATGCATGTTCTAATGTTTATTATAATTAAAAAAATATATAATATAAAAATAACCAAAGTTAATATTTTTCAAAGATTTTACAAATACAAAGGATAAGTTTTATTAAAAGGAAAATACATCAGTACCATTTTTGAGAATATTTCCACCAAATAGATGTATGCAGTAGATCTTATTAACAAGATGAAACATGGAGAATTTGTTTTTCTCTAATAGGTTTGTAGCTGTGTCTCACTATCAAGAAGAGTGTTTCTTAACCCTTTTTTTTTATTATACTTTTACTTTTATTATACATCTTCTAGTCTAAGTTTACAATCATGGACATTTTTAAACAGAAATTTAGATAAATAAGGAGAAAATTAAGCGTGTGTGTGTGTATTAAGTGATTAACAATATTAAAGATGTTTAACAAGAGGCACAGGTGCATTAGTTTCTTCAGCTTAGTGAAGCCTTAATCTAATAATACAAAGTATTAACAAATGAAAAATAATTGTGAAGACCTTTTTGTGAATTGTTTTCATGTAATAGATTCAGCTTGTTAAAATCAGCTATGTTCAGTAAAATATTGACTGTCAGAGGTCAATTACGAAACCAAATGCCAACTCTATAATAGCCAACTTAGGCAATAAAAAAATTTTATGAGTTGATTTATAGCTTCAACTGAAGTCTTAACATTGTTTTCACAATATTAAAAACATCTCAGCAAATAAACACATCGCTGGTGTCTGCAAACGAAAATATATCAGAAATTGCCAAGCACGAGAAATTGTAGTTGGCATCATAATAAAAACTGCCAACTAGGAGTATGGTTGGCAGTTGATGTGTTAACTGAACTTTTATCAAAACTAAATTTATGGATTTAGATTTTAAAACTGTCAGTTAAAGATAATTTTGCAGGAACAAACAATAGGAAGTGTACATCTTGAATATTGTAACTTTGTTTTAATTTTTTTTAAATATAACTTGCTCAGAGTTGCCCAGCAACATGATGAGGTCTACCTAGAATTGATCAAATCATTTAATATTTAGGAAAACATAGATTTCCTTGAGAAACGGTACTTTAGTCCCTTCAAAGTTTTACTCCTCACAAACTTTTACCAGTATCCCTTTCACTTTTCAAAACAGCTGCCTCAATATGCTTTCCTTGATCTCTTCACTTTCAATGGCCTCTTTGGGACAATGCCAGAAGACAAGTGGAGATAAATATGGACTGTGTATGGATTTTCTGATAAACATAAGCAATACAATGTTTCACCCCAAAAGATATCCTGGCTGTCAAGATATTAAAAAGAACTGAATACATCTTGAAAAGTTCAAAGAATCTAATTCTCACAGTATCAATTGCTAATTTCCTTTCAGGCACTCTACTTGTTAGAGAGAACTTTCAAAATGTGAATCACTTTCAATTGATTCCAGATCACTTTTGGTATATTCCTGGCCAAGATTGAAGCAATGTCAGTTCTGAAATTTTCCCCCTTTTCAAATTATTCCTGAAAGCTTGCTTAATCATTCAGACAGCTTCTATGGATTCTTCAAGCAAAACAATGTACATTCACTGTGAACATGGTAGCCATATAATGCATGAGTACATTCAATGTCATCTCATAGTCAACTGAGTAATCCCACAGGAAGATGTCTCTCCATGTGTGTGTTCAGTAAAATACTTTCTGATTGGCTGTAAAGTTCCATCAAAGTCATACAATTGTTTCTTGGAATATACCAAATGATTGGAGACTTTCTGAATGGACCAGTCCTTTTAAAATTTATCTGACTGTAGCATTCTGGTGACTTCTTAGTGAGAATAAATTTAATCTCATAGCTTGTGTTTCAATAAATATTTACAATCAATAATAAATCTCTAAACATTAGATTAGTTTTGTTTTTGCAAACTGTTTCATTCAAACTCATCTTATGGTGAGAGTAAAATGAAAATCATCATGAAAAAAAACAAGACAAAAGATTAAAATAGATTTTTTTTTTTTAAATAATTATAATTTGTTCTAAAAAGCTTAAAATGTGATAAAAATGTTATTTTATGAACAGTAACTTACCTTCCACCAGTAACAACTACTTTTGACTGATCAGGTTCTAGTCCAGTTGGGCTCAAACTGCCACTTCGATTTCCTGTTTCTGACAGGGCAGATAGGGAAAGAAGAAAAAACAAAAAAAACAAATGACATTATAAAATATCAAAGGTAAATTAAACATTGCAAATTGAAGAATTCCAGTACAATATAATGTAAAAAAATAAAAATTTAAAAACTAGAATTCTTTTTAATTAACTTATAAATTTCTCACTTTAAAATTTAAGCAAAACTGTATTTTAAATCTTCACTTCTAAAATCTTCAAATTAATTTTCTAAAAAGAAAGTGCATAAAAAAAAAAAAATTGCACTGGCCTTAAATTAAAATTTACTGTGCCATTATTGACATTAAAAAAGGCAATGTTTTGCTTTACTCAACACAAAAACAAATACATTTGTTTCTTTAGTAAAATGTTGATAAATAATATGAGTAAATGCCAAAAGCCAACAAACAAAAATCTCACTATGAAGAGGAGGAAAAAGAATGTTCTCACATGACACATTTAAAACTAATTTACAAATTCTTGAAAGTATGAAGAAAAAAAATTTAGCCAATGTTAAAAATATTGTTTCCAAATCTTTGACAAAGATATTTTTGTAGAGAATGCTTCTGATTCATTACTGTACATAGCAATTTGTTGTAAACCCCATTTGCCGACACCTATACCAAATAATAAATAAAAGAATTGAAGAAAAGAAAAATAAAAAAGATGGGAAGAGGAAATCAAGTTATACATGTTCCCAAAATCTGAGAATGTGAAATGTTAAAGTTATAATCAAAAGAAAAATATTTTGAACAAGATTTAGATCAAATTATGTTTTATTTTTGTGTCAGATTCTAGTTGAGTAAGCATAAGGAAGTTTATTTCATGCATCTCTAGATTCCTGTATTTGGGTACGTCATGCAATGTCAGGAGCAAAATGTGGTGGAGATTTTTTAGCACTGACTGAGGGATAAATGTCATTTCACATTGCACTTGTTCATAAAAGGAAAAAAACAAATAAAAAGATCAATATATCAGTTTCCTTTCAAAATTTGTTTAGCATAATACTAACATATTCTTTGAGAAAAATAGGCAATTTATTTTATTTAAAAAAAGGGCAAGATCATAGCAATATGTAGGCAAATTACAAATATACATTTTCTGAAATTATATGCTTCAACTTACCTAAAAAGTTTTACACACAAAAAATGTAGATTTCTTAAAAATGCTAAAAGCAAGCTTTCATTCATTTTTTTATTTGTTGGGCATTTCTTACTTGTTGCTAAATGGCTGCTGTGAAAAGCAATGATTGACAAGCTTGGGTAAAAAAAAAAAAAAAAAGCAGCTTGATTTTTTTTCCTTTTTTTGCTGAGAATATTTTCCTCTCATGCTAATTTTAAATAAGATTGCAAATGTGTGTATATATATATATATATATATATATATATATATATGTCAATTTATTCAAGAGCAATAAAAGAAATCAGAGGATAAGTTACGAACTGCAAAAATGATCAATAAATATAGGTAATAAAGTACAGATGATAGACTAAGTAGAATAAACTTAGCATTGAACTTAGGGATTTCATGAAAACTGGTGTTGAGGTATTTTTACTTATATATTTCATTAGATGTAATTATTAAGTGGTGCTTGTGTGTGAATAATGAGAAATCTATCTGCATGTATGTAAAAAAACAAAGTATAAGGGAAATAAAATATTATTGTGAACAGATTGTTTAAGTTGTAAAAACTTTTCTTCTGTAAAAGAAAAAAAAATAACAGAATATGAAGCAAATAAAATTGCTGATAATTTAAAATAAGCCAGAGTCCAGCTTATTCTGAGGCCTGAGAGCCAACCACCAAAGAATATCCAAGTAAACAGTAGATTTTATTGAGGAGGTAACACTAACAGAGGAAGAGTGAAGTCATAGTTTATAACTCAAGGCAAGAAATAATCATTTTCTTTCAGCTTCCATGTGCGGAAAAATAAATAGGAAAAAACAAACAAAAAAAACTCAATATTTGTTTAGAAATAATATTTATATTTTAGTGCATATCTAAAAATATTTGCAATAAGGTTACAGTTTCTGTCTGAGCGTTCTTTTTAAACTTTGACTTCACTTTGGGCAGCTTGAAAGCAATTGTGGTACCGTTTGAACAGCCTAGATGTGATTGAAAACAGCATGCTTATGGAGAAAATTTCCATATTGAGATAAATTAGTTACCAAGTCTGTTCCAAACTTCATGATGGATGGAAGACATGAAAACATAGTAAAACAAAATATAGCTGAAAGAAAGTCAAGTTGAGTTTAGCAACACTTTCAAATCATTATTACCAGATTAACCCATTAAAAGACAATGTTCAAGAATTTCTAGAAAGGAGTAAAAATGGAAAGACAACACTTATAATTCTGTGATATCAATTCATACAGTTCACAATAATCTGACAAACATTTATTTAGCCTTACATTTTAATGTTTATAATATTATTTCAATCAGAACTAAATTTTTTGAGCAAAGTAGTAAAGAAAATTATTATGTCATTATAAATTTTCCTAATCATTTATAAAAAAAAAAAAAAATAATTATATATTGGTGTAACAGCAAAATTGTACAATTGTTAGATTAAGCTTTGAACTGTTGTATCTTAGAAATGATTAAAGATATCTTACTGGAATTCTCTGAGGGTTTTATAACACCATTGGACTACTTTGAACTTTATACTTAAGAATGTATAATTACTCTCCAAGCTTAACAGAAGAATCATGATGAAATTGATCATAAATGAAAAAATGTTCATTATTAATTAATCATAGCTAAGGATCAGAAGCTCATGAAGGATTGAAATAAAGTTCAGATAGAAGCTTAAATACTGGTATTTATTTCTAATTTATAAGGACAATTCTGGCACAAGTTCAAACTGTTAAGCATCAAGAGTTGCTCTGCCTTTGCAATGACGTCCTCAACCCTCTTCCTGAATAAACTACAGTGCTCATGTGACAAGGAGCTCCATCCTGCTGGAATGTAAATTTGAAGGCCTTATCGATCTTGTTAGTGTTTCAATATCTAGCCTCAGGATATTCAGAAAGAATCCTTCTCAAACATGATCAATGGCATCTTCTTGTTATCAAAGACCACATAGGCAAAAACCATTACTTTGGCAGGGTTTTTGCACTTGAAAGTGACATTCTTGTCTCTCTTGTGAGGATCAGAAGCCAGAATTTACAGAATTACAGCCATTGCATATGTGTATACATCCTGTATAAAATTCTTGTCATCTGTGTAGAAGATTATTCTAGGATCATTTTTCAACTTATTCTAGATGACCTTTGCCCTCTCTAACCTTCTGTCCTGGAGTAACAAGTTCCACATATGATTTCATTTTCAAGTCTCTTTTCACCGCTCTTTGGACTGTGATAGCTGAAAACTCCCCTCTTATGTGGCATGTCATGGATTGAGTTGGATCTTTTCTAATTGATCTCTTTAGCTCTAAGTTGAAATGATGATCCCTCTTCCTGTTGTGGCGTCCTGATCCAGTTTTCCTCTCTATTGTTCCTTCTTTTTAAAACTTAATTCATCATTCTCTTCATGGTTCTTAAATGGACTTTGAAGCCAGAGTACTAAAGTTGGTACCATTACTGAAGGACTGAATGATCTTTTCCCTGTCACTTGGAAGACAGTATGGCTGACACAAAACAATTTTAACCTGTTCTCTTTCTAGCTGATTAACTCAAAGGGTTTTTCAGTGATTCTTACAAAAAATGGTGTCAAGATGGCTAAATGTCTCATCTGAAAACCTGGAGAAAAGAAACTCAATTAGTTTAATTGTTTTTTTTAAGATAATAAACATTTTGTGGTATGGACAATTATGCTGTTACACCTAGTGTGTGTGTGTGTGTGTGTATATGTGTGTATATATATATATATATATATATATATATATATATATATATAGTGTGTGTGGTAATAAAAATAATAAAACAGTGCTCCCTGTAAAATAACACCTAGAATTTATACTACTAATAAATATAAAAGTAAACATTGAAGTCAACACCCAGAAGCGACAGGCTGTTTCCTCCTTGGCCTGACAATTGTGTCTAGCATGAAACAGCCTGTCGCCTCTAAGTGTTGACTTCAATGTTCAGTTTTATATTTACACACGCTCTATCTCGGATATTGAGCACTTTATTCCATAAATATAGCACACCTTAAGAGTATATTTCTTCATACTACTAATAAATATACATTTTGTTCCTCATCGTTTGGTAACACCGAGTTTCATGCACATAGCAATCGTCAGGCACAGATTGAAAACTGTTTTCAATCAGTACCTGATGATTACCATGTGCATGAAACTGTACTAGAAGGTGAGGAATGTATATATTATTTTATATATTAGTATTAGTAGTAGTAGTATGCATGCATGAATGGACAGACATAATTTTATCAATAATTAAGAGGACAAAAAAAAATTTCTTCATGAAAAATAAATATGAATAAATTGTAGCTAAAATCCTGAAGCATCAATATGTCAGTTTTCAGAACTTTAAATAATCCCATATCTTGTAAATAACATGTAAATTATTTTTCTGTTTAAGACTGCAAGTCTATTGGAAATAAATTGTTTTGCAATATCAATAATTATGATATTTGGACAATGGATAGTATCTAAACAGAAAATATCTAGAGATTTGATCAACTGAAATTTATTATTATTTTGTCAATAAATCTAAAGTATTAGAAACTATTCTTCATCTACACCTTTTAAAATAATTTGAACAGTCAAACTATTAAATATTGCTGCCATATTTTGCAGCAGGTTACAGAACAGAAGTAGAGAATATAATCAATTTAAAATCTTCATTACTGTACAATTATTTAATCTGATTACTTGTAGATATCTTCAAATAATGACAGTGTCACTCCAAATAATTTAAGTTATATATTGGTCACATCCATGTTAAGATTTAAATAGCAATAGAAAATACACCCGAACACCGATTTTCCCCAAACTGCCAACTGTATAAAAAATATGGCTTGTATATTATTATTTCGAAAGTTATCATTTAACAAAACAGTTTGTTACTACTTACTGAAATAATCTTAGGAGTACATCTTAGACATGGTGAAAGCAAATAAGTGTTTACTTTATAATTTATTGTATGTCAACAAATTCTAATAATTTTCATATTTTTAAAAAAATTTCAAATTACATCAGCTGAAAAAAAGATCTGAAGACATAAAAACAAGTTAATTTAAAATCCAGTGTCATTCGAGTAATATATTAATAAACAAATAAATTGACTTCATTTAAAGCATGATCAACAGATATTTATTTTCCTTGTTTCTATTATAAGTAATTGTAACAATAAATAAATCTTTCGAAGAGATCAGCATTTGTTTTAATAAGTAAATATAAATAGAAGTTCTTTTTGGTCTGAAGAAAGATAATTCAAGTAAGCATATATTCGTTACAGTTTTTTTTTCTTTTTACAGTTATGCACCTGAATTCAATAAATGTAAAGTTAGGAAAAACTGGTTTCAAATAAGGAATTAATGAAGTATCAAGAAATTTGAACTTATCTGTATTAATATAGGACACAAAACATTGTTAAATACAATAAAAAAATGATTAATATATATATATATATATATATATTTTTTTTTTCATGCAATAAAAAAAGACAAAGGTTAATCAGAATATCTTATGAAGGCAATAAAAACAAACACATAATTAAAAGGGAAAACAACAACTATGGTAGTTGACAAGACATAATTAGGAGCAAAGAAGAAAAAAAAAAAAGAAAAAAGGATAATTGATCTGTTTTTCTACTGATATTTGGTATTGCCAACTATCATTATTGTTTATCCATTTTTTTTTCTTTAATTGATTCATTTTCTACAGTTTATCAATCCTTTCTGGTTATTTAAAGCCAGAAAAAAAAAATTTATTGTAATATTTTTTTTTTTTGAGATAATAACAATTTAGTGATACAGGTCTTACCCCATAGTTAGGGAGAAGAACTGGATTCATGCCTTCCTCAAGGGTATTTGTGCATAAGTGAATATAATTCTGAGCCATTATCCATTACACCACCTGCACATCTAAGTTTACAGAAACTGGTATTCCCAAGTGGTCACACCCATCTAGGTTATAACCAGGTTAGATGTTGCTTAACTTCAGTGATCATACGGGAACCAATGTCTCAACATAATGTGATTGTAAGCCCCTTTATCCTTTTTGTCCCTTTTAATTACTGTATATACTTGTGTATAAGTCAACTTCATGTAGTGTGACACCGGCATTATTTTTGCTTGAATATTACCACACCGCACCCCCAGGCCTCAACCTCACAAATTAATAAATAAAAAAATAATAAAAAAAATCTGTATTCAGTGCAACCAGTCATGGAAAATGAATGATTTTTCACCTCTTGGGGGGAAAAAAAAAAAAAAAGAAAAGAAAAAAAAAAAAAATGCCTGTGTATAGTGCAAACCCACCCCCACTATTTTTGGGTGTAAAACAAAATCATTATTAGAACCCATACTCAAGTATACACAGTGTATGTCTATTTTTACTACCTTAACTAATTTATATTGATTATAACCATGCAAACCTACAAATTGTATAATTAAAATACTAACCATTTGGTGGTATTCCTAAGTCTTGCAGCAAAGCCTCTGTTTCTGCTCTTAAATCTTGTGGTTGTTTCACTGCTTTAGGGTCCTCAGCCTGGTAGAAAAAGAGTTTTAAAACATGTAAAATTATAAAAATGTGATAAAAATTTAGTTAATTTTCATCTTGCAGTCTTAGTAAATATAACAATGCTTGATAATACTGTTACATAGGGTAGTCATTACTAGCAATCAAAATCTGATTAACAAGAGTTTTTTTAGCACTGTTTCAAATATGATATGATTCTCTCCATGGTCATTTTTCTTATTAGCATTTTAATTAATTCTCTATTAGTCCAAATGTTTTAGTAATTTCAAACTTGTAGATACTGTACTCGATTTTATAGTTATCCAAATCAAGTAAGTTATCTATTGACCACCCTGAGTTTTGTTTTTCTGTCTACTGTTGAGAATTATATTAGAAACAAAGCCTAGAAATAAAATGTTTCCTTGTCCTTTAGACCTGTAAGGAAGGAAGGAGCCTATGAAACCCAAATACAACAAAACCATTATAAAAAAAAATGTGGATTATATCACATTTTGTACCTGGAAATGTAAAATAAATATCAGATTCATTTTTTGCCATTCTTTTTCATGTGGTTTTAATCAACAATATTTTCAATTGGAATGTGATTTAATATATCTTATGTGCTGTGTCCCTGAGGCAATCATGGCTCTCCACAAATTCCTGTCCTTCATAGTGCTTAATAAATGTTGTCTTTTTGTTATTTCTCCTAAACCCTGTTCTGATATTCATTTACTCAAGCTTACTAGGTAGGCTACATGTTATTTCCCCTGTCTCTCCTACCTTCAATCTGTCCTGTGAATATCAGATTTTCCAAGCCTTCTTTCCTCATGTGCCCTAGAAATTTCAACAGCCTCTTTCCTTTTTGTTTCCATTTTCTCTAAAACTTTGTCATTGCTCATGTTCAGTCCATGGTATTCACAGCATCTGCCTGTAGAACCACATTCCTGTTGATTCAAGTCTCCACTTTATCTTTGAGGGAATTGTCCAGCATTCACTGCCATATAGGAGGAGAGATATCGTGTAACTGTTTAGTACTCTTTTCTTTGTTTCTAATAAAATTTTTCTGTAAGAAAGTCATTAACCCAAGTTACATGACAACTGAAGTCTGTGTAATAAATTGATCAAATTTTGACTCATATTGATATTTTACATATCAAATGAATACATAGAAAAATTCAATCAACAAAAATTGTTTTTGCTTATATTGATAAAACATTAAAAATATCATGCAATATGCTATTAATTATCCTTTTAATTGTTTTTAATCTTAACACTACAAAGATGAGGATCCTAATCCTAATAAATGATGGAATAATATAGGTAAGGGAGAAATGGTGATACCTAAGGTATAAAATACATTAAAAAAAACTTCCTTGAAGCTTTTATTTTTAATTTCAAGGTAATTGATTAAATTTAATATTTCTAATAAGCAATATGTTTTGCTGTATTTCAAACCAAATTTAAAATGATAGGAATAATTTTTTTTTATTATCAGTAAAATCACTAAAATAGCCCAAATTGTCAAGCCTGTCAAAAGAACAATTACCTTTATTAAAAAATCTTTCAAAAATAGAATGTACTTCTCTGAAACTTTATTTGAGGAAGATTAACAAATATTACTGATTTTAGTTTAAAATATCACAGAAAGGCATTTTTTTAACACATGGTATTGACACATCTATCAAGAACCTAATGTTTGCAAGATTTATGTAAGGAGGAAATAATTGTAGTAAAATGACATGACAAATACAACATAAACGTTTTTTTTTTATTTTGGATATTTTTTAACTACCTAGTAATCTTAAAAATTTATATTTTAAGCATTCTAATATTTTATTGAATTTTAGGTATTTTGGCATTATAGCTATACTTTCAAAGACACTTGTTGAGGAAAATCTTAGAAAATTACCAAAAAATTTAAAATTTACTATGGTTACAGCTCTTATTCTCTGATAATGTTGTGTGTAGACATCTGTATTTACAAAAATTGGCATGCTTATATACAAAAAAATTGAAATTATTTTTAAAATACTGGGTGTGTGTTGGTTATTGAAGCTTTTTCATTTATGATTAGTAAATATAGTTTTCAATAAAAACAATGTCACTTGACTGCTACAAATTAATAAAGAATCTTAAAATTCAAAAGTTCATACATTAAAAAATGAAAACAATTCCTGTTTAAAATTCATTATTCATCCAAAAAAATTTTTTCTTGATACAATAATATATCTTCAAAAGCAATTAAAAGCACACCTAATTAAATAATAGAAAAGCTTGCTGCAATTCATCGAACACCAATATTTAAAAAAAAATAAGAGCGATAACTATAGTATCTAAAATTCAATAAAACATTAGAGAATATTTTCTTAAATTTTTAAGATTACTGAGTACTTAAAAATTATATAAAAAAGTGCTTATGTTAGTTATAATCCTCAGTTATTTTTTTTTTTACAGTAGGTAAACATTAAACTTCCAATTGTCATCACCTTTTACAGTTTATTTATAAGGCTTTAAGGTGATGACAACTGGTAGATGTTTAAACACTAAACAGCTACCCGTGTTAAAAAAAATGCATTTTTGCAATAAAGTAACATTTGTTTCAAATCAGATTAACTGAACTTTAAATTCCACAAATAAATTTTCAGAAAAGTATATTTTATTTTTGGAAGATTTTTTTTAATTACATGGCTAAAAAAATGTCACTAAAATTAGCAATTTCAAAACAAAACGAAAACTCCCTCCAGTCAATTTAAATTTTGAAATACAGCAAAGTTTGCTTAATGAAAATGTTACATATAGCTTGAAATTAAAGCTTCAAGAAAGATTTTTCATTTTAAACCTCAGGTGATGTCGCGTTTCTTTGACAAAAAAAAAAAAAAAAAAAAAACTACCATATGTTCATCTCCAATTTTGAATCTTAAAGATCTCTTTAAGTGTAATGCACTGTGCAAATGATACATTATCAGTGATATTTCCATTAAAAAAAAATTTAAATCCTTTCAAATATTTATAAAGAAAACCAATAATAATCACTGAAAATGATACTAAAAAAAAGTTCATTTGAATAAACGAACAAAAAAAGCAGATGCCGTTTTCTTTTAAAAATTCTAAGAAATAACTGTAAATAACAAATCAGTTGCTTAAAAACAAAATGAATGACAAAAGAAAAATGTCGCTTCATTTATGACGGATAATTGGGGAAAAAATTTCGATTAGAATTAGAGGTTTTTAAGACAAAAAAAATTAGGTTTATGCAGATGTCTTCTTTTAAAAGACTTTTTCATAAGAAAAATATTGAGGAAAAAATCTGTTTTTTTTTTTTTTTTTACTGTTGTTAAATTGTGTCAAACGAAAAATCTATAAAATCTCAAATTACATTTACGCATCAGTTAAAATAAAATCATTAACTAATTTTAAACAGAAACAACAAAAAAAAACACTTAACAATCAGACTATGAAATGAAATAATATTTAATTTAAAAGTAATATAATCTGAATTTAATTTGTATGATTTGATCATAAAATCAGATTCAGAATCGATGCGAAGATGATAGGAACGAAAAATCCATCATTATCAATATGCGACAACCTTTGTAGCAGTTTCTTCTTCATCAGGTGAAGTGTTTGGTTTTTTTTTTATATTTCAACAATTGTAATAATCTTTTTTATTTCCTTTTAGTCGCGAGAAATAAAAACTGAAAATCATTGTCAAAATAACAGAATTGAAAACTTTTGTAAAAAAAAAAATTAAGATATATTTTCGGCGATTGACAGTTTCCATTATTATTGCGTAGATTTTTTTTGTTTTTCCCAATGAATGAATTCTAAGTGACGACCTTATTATTAACACAAGTCTTTTTTTTTTTTAATTCTTCTGAACACTTTTAAAATTAAAAAATAAAGTAATAAAATATTTCCTTTCAAGGAGAATTGGAGACTATTTTTTATAGTGTCTTCTCGAAATTTGTTTGAAATGATTAGTTGCAGTTTTAACAGATGTTGTGCACATCGTGCATAAAAGAGTTAAGCAACAAGATGTTTATGAAAAATTAATTCAATGAAACGTAGGACAAAAATTAGAAATATAACCTAATTTGGAGACTAGAAAAAAAAGATAGACGGTATTTATTTCGTATTACATCATCAGATTTTTCATTTTCAGCAGCTTATTTCAGGAGTTAATATTACTCAAGCAACAAAAAATATTATTAAGTCTCATTTGAGAAGACTACACTTACTACTAAGAGATGAAAACAACTTATTTTAAAAAAGTTAAAGCATAAAGATTACAATATAAAAAGTAATTTATTTTAAGAATGTCAAAATAAAAAAAAAAGCAATGAAATGGGAAATTAATCGTCGCAAGGTTATTTTTAACTTAAGATTAAGAGCAAATAATTTTTTTTAGGAAAGGTTGATTGATGACAACCTGGAATTCGGTCAAAAGAAAAGAGTGCAGTTTTCGTTTGACAATCTCTAATTCATCTTCTTTTTGTGCAGATTTGAAAAAAAATATTACGCTATTAAAAAGGGAATAAAGTTTGATTCTTATCATTTTTTTAATATATAAAAAAAAAAAAGGCATGTGAGAGATATGAATAAATGGGTTACCGGCAAATAAATTGATGACGATATGGTGGTCATTGTTAGGAATTTAAAATATTGTATCGCCTCTTAAAAAATTATCATATTTAGTAGTAAAAGATGAAACAGCTTGAGGGATGATTTGGTTAAAAAAATTATATCTTTGAAGTCGTAATTCATTAAATTAAATAAGAAAAAGAAAACTGAGTATTTTTCAATTATTTGGCAAGATTAACAGCCTCAGATTTTCAAATGATTTGTAAATAACAAAGCGATTTCCCATGTTTTTGTTTTTCTTAAATGAAAATTATCTTATGATCTTATTTTTCATTAATATAAAAAAAAATAAAAAGGGTAAAAAAAATAAAGCTTCACAAAAGAAGACTAAAAAGAGCACTGATATGAAGTTTAAGAAAGATTTTAAAACTAAATAAATCCGATAACAAAGACAATATTTAAATAAAAAAGAAATAATTATTTTCAATTTCCAGATTTAATTCTATGATGCAACAATTTGTAAATAAAATTAATTCAAATAAATTTATCATTAATAATTTTACAAAGACTTCTTCAATTTTAAAGACTCATTCATTAGTGATGTGTGTAGCACACGCATCTGCAAAAATTCAATTCAAATCCTTTAAAATCTTATCTTTTTTAAAAAGGGACCGCACCTAAAATCTAAAACGAGTGAGTCTGCAACGAACAGACTATATATCATAATTACTAAATTACTAATAGTATGAAACTGACTTAACCTTTTTAGTACAAGCTGACCCGATGAGATCAGTGTGACCATTGATCTCTATAAAAACCTTTAAAAATAAACTTTAAAAAATGTTTCTTCTTACTATTCGAAAACGATGAAAATGTTTTTTTAAGTGTAATCAAAATTATCACAACTTATTGAAGATACAAGTTTTTTTATAATTATTACATAAGTGAACGATCAATGATATTTTTTCAATTTTCTGATAAAAATTTATAAAATAAATAAAATTTTTTTATTAATTTTTTTTCATTCTTATTTTTGTTGCTTTTTCAAGATTTCTAATTTTCTATTTTAAATTCATAAAAAATATTTAAGCACACAATACAAACACCAAAAAAGCTTAAAAAGAAGAAAGGATATTATGAATTGAACTGTCCAAGTATTTTTTCATGAACAAGATGGTTCTTTTATCGCGCAATAAAAAAGATAGAGAAGCTATGAAGAAAAGAGGGTGGTTGTAGGAAAAAAAAAAAACGAACGGTGATTCATGGCATGCATAAATTATGCAAATCAGTTGCCACTCAACATCCGATACACATCAACAGGGACTCCCACGTCCACAACTTTAATAAAAATAAAAAAAAGAATATTACGGGAAATAACAAAGTCCACATAACTATAATGTCAAAAGATTCAAACAAATAAGACAACAAAAAAAAAAAACGATCGAGACGAAATGACATTCGCACTTATTAACGACGACACTAGAGCACCATTATATTCAAGTTGTAGATATAGTGATATATAGAGCAACTTAAACACATCCTTACATCTTTCTGCTTCCGTCGCTGCTCTTTCTCCTGTCGCTCTTTTCTCATCTGCTCAAGACGAGCTTTCTTACGCTCTAACTCTGCTTTGCGATCTGACATCTTTGCCGTCTATCCCGATGTTCTGTTTGTTTTTCGCAGACTTTTACTGCAAAAGAAAGAAAAACACTCCCGAGACGGACGACCTCAAAAACAAGCCGACATCACTAGTGTACTCCCTTTAACGTGACGTCACGAAACTGTAGACCACAGTGAATAATTTCTCTAAAATGATTAGCGGAAATTATTAAAATAAATAAACTAATAAATTATTTGTTAATTATAATGCCGGTTTAAAAATCAAATAGAGAAACAAAAAATAAGTATAAGGTTAAGATATTTTTTTATAAGTAACTTAAATATATGATTTAAACGCCTGTTTGACTGCGAGGCACTATATTTCAACATAGACATAAATTAATCTCCTGCTAAGAAAGAGTTCTAGTGTTTAAAATTTTTTTTTTTTAAATTTTCAATTTATTTATTTATTAAGAAACAAAAATTATTTTGAAAGTTATATAATAATTTTATATTTAGGTTTAGTGTTTTTTTTATTGAAATAACGACATTTTAAAATGAGCCTTTACATTAAACTTTTTTTACAATGCAAAATTTGAACAATAAATATTTTTAGAATATTCTTTAGAATTCAAATTTTTCACAGATTTGAAGTTTTTTAAAAAAGCCTATTTGCAACAAAAATGCAATAAAATAATTGTGATAGTTTTTTTGTCCTTTAAAGTGGTAAAAAGAGCAGACGAACTTCAAGATCAGAAAGCATGTTAGAAAAATTATTTCCGTTTATAAATCTGTTTTTTACTTTATTCTTCAATAGTTTTTTTTTTGTCTTTGTTGAAAATAAAAATATGTTTTTTGTATGGAGGAAAATAAAAAAAGCAAAATAGACAACACAACCCTATATTTACTTTTTAGTTTTACTAGCCTGCTTTTAAATACACAAACGATTTAGTTTTAAAAACGGTGTTTTTAAGTTAATTGTGAGTCTTAGTTATTCTTCCCTTTTTTTAGTTTTTGAATATGTAAGAAAGATTCTCTGTGTAAGCAGTAAGCTAGTACTCTTTAACCTCTGCTGGGGAAACTAAAGAAGAACGTTTTCTTTTTCGTTCCTGAGGTGAAAATTATATAAACAAGAAGAAGAGACGATGACAAACATTAGCCACGTTTCTCGGGTTAAGGCATTGTATAAAGCCATTCTTAAAATCCACCGCGGACTACCAATTCATTTTCAGGCCATCGGTGATCAGTATGTAAAAGATGAATTTCGTCGAAATAAGACAGCAAATACAACGGAGGCTGAAATTTTTATGCACGAATGGACGGTATGAAAATAATACTAATTTATTTAATCATTAATTATTTTATTTATTTGAGGATTGAAGTGGAGGGTAAATAAATAATAAACAAAAATGAATCCATTGAGGTTCGGTCTCTAGTACAGTAAATAATTTTTTTTTAAATCTAAAATTAGATAAAAGTAAAAACAAAGTTGAAAAACATTTTAGTTTTATTTTTTTATTTATTTAACAAAAGGAGAATCAGATTATTTTAGAGACGTTTCTTATTTAACTTTACTTTTTCCGTTATTGAGCAAAAAACTGAAAAGTCGAGCTGCGATTGATAAAGGTCGACTCGATGAAAACTTTTTTCTTAATAAATTACCTTCTTATTTTCATTTTATATTTTATTATTTATTAAAATTAATTTATTCTAATAAATTTTGAATCCATTCCCTTAATTAATTCATTAAAAATGTACCTCTTCTAGAAAATCAGACAATTTCTCTGATTTGAAAAAATAAAAATAAAACAAAAATATGTTTATGGTTGCAAATGATAAGGTTGTCGCCTTAGAGGAAACGCAAAACTTTTTTACATCATTAGAAAAACTGGCACGAAGAAAAATCTTTGTGATTTTAAACCAAAATTTTGCATATAAAGAATGAGAGAGTAAACTTAAAGTTCAAGTAGACTAACCAGAAAACTGTAGTGTAAAATAATAATGTTCAGTTAATTGTTTACAGCCCTCCTGATAGATTACTCTTCCCACTTAAAATTTTTCTGCCACACCCTATAGCAGCCCCCTTGTGTCTTAGTGACTTTCTTGCCTTGCATGAGGTGACACTGATTTAAAAAGAAATCTGACAAAAAAAATAAATCTATCACTCCGAAATCTTCTTCTATGTGCCGCGTCCCTCATTAATTCTCATTAATTCCCTCATTTAAAACCAATGAGAATCGGCACTAGTTTTATCCTCTACAGGTACAGGTACAAGTGACATGATCAGTATTGGACAAGAAGTTCACACGGCCAGGTTGTTGACACGTACGTCAATGAAAATTTCATCTCCTTTCCATTTTTCAGGCCATAATAATAATATTGATCTTTTAGCACCCAACAAAAATTTGAGGTAAGAAAACCTCAGACATTGCTTATATTTTCTAACAAAGTTATCTGGACACTCATTACACACATTTACAAAAAAAAAAAAAAATAAATAAAAAACATACAAGAAAGACTGTATACACTTTACTAAATCTTTAACTTATCCTTCTGTAAGATTCCAATCCATATTTGATTTACATTTGACTCCAAACTCACAATTTTACTCAATATTACTGTCTCTTGTTTCTCCATCACATACAACCAGATAATAAATAATACTTGTTTTGTTGTTTCCACGTCTTGATGTTTCTCATTCTCTATGAGTATTTTCGTATATACGAATGTTAGGGGGTTTATAAGTTTCACAAGCGAGAAGTGCAAGAAAAGAAACTGTTAGCATAGAATTTACAGCTATATCTTGCCAGCTCAACTGTAAATTGATGAAATCTCAACCCCAGTCTAGAACTGCGCTTAAATTAAAGAAAGTCTAGGTACCATAGTGAAGAGCTCATCCAAATAATTACCATGAAAGTATTTATAGAAAAGACACATGGCAGTAACCTTTTGGTGATGGGAAAGTGACTGGAACTGAGCTGCCAGATGAGGACTAATAATATTGCAGAGTCTTCTTTAGATTTTATCAAGGAGTTCCAGATAAATAGCAGGGGCACCAGACCATATGTGGCAACAATATTCTAAGCATGGGCAATTGGTAAACTTATAGATATGTAAGATAGATTCTGGAGAGAAAAAGTTGTCTTGCATGACACAGTAAACAAACTTTATTAGCAGTTGACCTAGCAATGGATTCAATATAGTCTTTCCACTTCATGTCAGCTGAGAATGTTAGCCCGAGAAGGCACAATGAGTCACTTTCCTAGAGGTTAGCATCAGCCATACTGATGGAAGGCAGAGGGGTCTCTCAGATGGAGAGAAGTTTAGTTTTGGAGTTGTTAAAATTAATAAACCATCTTTTGCCTCTGTTAACAATGGACTTGATAACTGCCATTTTGACCTTATCAAACTAATCAGTCTTACTAACAAAAATTGTTTTTAAGGCAACAAATAAGATTCTTATAGTTTTATTTGACAATATCCAACAGATAGTGACCAGTCAGAAACTCTGATTGTGAATCTACAAAGTTTAACCATTTTCAAAAGATTTAAGTTTTAAATTATTAAAATTCTAATATGAAGTATTATCATGATGATAGATTTTTCACTAGTTTTTTACATTATATTGTTGATTTTCACTTTGAGTTCAGCTTTTTGTTTGTTTTATTTAAATTCTTTGAGTTCTGACACAAAGTATTTTCATTACCAATTTTTGACTTGAATATTTATTTTATAGTAGATTTTTATTTTGAATTCAGCTCTTTATATTGTTTGAATTCTGATATCAAGTATTTTCAAGATTTATCTTTTACTATTTTTTTTCATCTTTTTGGTATTTTTTATCAAAACTTTTTAGGGCAAATGCCCTCTGACTGTTAAAGTAAGTAGCATGAAGTTGGGGAAAAAAAAACTGGCTTCTCATAAGGCTTTAACCAGTTTGGTCACAGGGGCCTATTGGCTAGACAGGGCTCAAATTTTATAGTCATATAACTGAAGGAGATAAGTAGCAATATGAGTATAGATTTGGCTCCTGTCTAGTCACTGGGATCCAGTAACTGAATCTGTGGCACAATGTTTGGTAAACCTTCATAGAAGGTGATGATGTGAGATTTTATCTCAGTTTCAAGTGTTTTGTATTTATGACCAGTGAGATATAGTCTTCAAAGCAATCATCCACTTAATTGAAAGTGAATAAAAGAATAAATAAATAAATGAAAACATTTGGAAACAAGTGACAACAAAACTGGACATTGAGGATTTCCAGTTACAGGCTTATATTAACAGTCACTTTTGGGATTGAAGTTAAAGGGGGTAGAATGTTGATGTTGCCCATGTGTCATGATGTTTGAATGAGCAGAGAGTTGGTAAAAGGAAGGAGCTGATCTGTTGGACTAACATGGTCGAAGTTGTCCCAAGTGTATATCTCCGTTACAAACTATTATCAAACAACAATAGAACGGTTGCTGTGCAGCATTTTATCATTCTGGGTTGGGCAGATTTCAGCAGGAACAATGAGTTTTTCAACATTTGACACTTGCATCATACCAATTGTGTTAAATGGTCTCCATTGTGTTAATTGGATGACAAAATCACTTCAAAAGCTTGTTACATTCCATAACTGCATAATGAGAATTTTATCTAACAAATGCCTCAGCGATCATATCTCTATCACTGATCTACTCAACATTACCAGGCTTAAGCCAATCACATCAGTTATCAAGTCAAGAGTACTTAAACTGTATGGTCATATCAAAAGATTAAATCGTGGAGTGATTAAGGTATGCTTAGATGGAAAGTAAGTGAAGCAAAGATTGACAGACAAAACGCCAGATTGATAATGTCAGCTTATGGATTGAATTTGACCTTTACTCTTTGAACTTTGTTGTTGCTGATTGAACTTTGTGAAGAAGAATATCTCCTGTTGATGTGCAGTCTGCAACACATGCAGTAAGCAACTAATGATGAACCTACCATCCCACCGAGACTGAGCAAGTGGCACCCTAACAACTAAATATATTGGAAACAGGGTTTGAGTCCACATTTCT